AATCGCCAAAATGGGAGATTTCGGTTCTGATAGGAAGATGAGTTAAAAGTGAGTTATTGAAACTTGTGGCAACAAAGAAACGCCTGCCTGACAGCTACTTTGGTCACATATTCTGTTCTTTCTTCTACGACAGCGTTTGACACCAGATCAAATAGTTTCATTTCTAACATTGATATCTAAATGTTCCAGTTTTCTCCTGTCTGTTTTGCAAAACGCTTGTTTCCAGGCCATAAAACACGATTATCAAAACGTACGTGTTGTATTCGCACAGATTTGTGTTATGCCTGACGTTTTTGCCCTACAAATCATGTGAAACATTTTTTCTGGTTGCAAACTTTTTTCTGCCTCCTGGCAATACCTCTTATAACGTCTGTGGCTCGTCAATCTGCAACCAATGTATACCAAAGGCATAGAATTTCCGGAACCCTTTTGTCACCATTGCTACGATGCCAAGAACAAGGCTGATTCAACCATCTGCTGGTTTCAACCTATTGTTATTCATTTTGCCTCATTTAAATTAATAGAGAGTCTCAAATCAGCAAACCTCCATATCGGGCTTAGAAATGACAATGCCCCTGGTTAAAATGTTTCCTAGAATTTTCCAGCGATATAATATAAATCACAAGAGCAGAAGAATTCATGAACATGTTGCCAGCTCTCGCCGATACCTTGTCCCCACTGCTTGTATTGGTTGAACATCGGCTTATAATTAAACCACGTGTGCACTTGTTCTAACGCATCAAAATAATCCCTTTTTGAATAATATTCGTTCAGGCAGACTTAAGCACATGAATATTTTTTTCAAAGCCACGGAGGGGTTATTTCATTAGCGCAGATGCAGCAGTCTGTAGCTATCGTGTCAACCAGGGAAAATAAAAGACTCAGCTTTGACCTGATATAAGGTTCCATTCTATGATTGAAGACTCACCTCCCAAGCTTGATTAATTTGCTTGCCACGGACAAAGTGCTGAAAATCTCACTGGCATCCGATGCGTTGCCGTTTATACTCCTGAAACAGGCAGAGTTATGTGGTTGCTTAATTTCCTGCGGATGGATGGCTCCCTCTTCCGTTCTCGTTCGACTGTCCTTTAAAACATGCAAGAAATTAGTAATTGTGTTCAAATGGTGTGAATTCGCCAAGAAACTGTTGCAGCATCGTATTTTCTTTTGAGCGGGTGCGGTTTAATGTGGAGACGGAAAACAACAATCGCAATTTCGTAGATTTCCATTGCTGCTTTTAAAGGGAGAAACATAAATTTCGAAAATCATTTTGCACAGCGCTTAAATCGATTGTTTAATTACGCTGCTCGAATGATAAATTTCCATGTGGAAAGTGATTATGCGAAAATTTTTTCATCATTAGCTTTTAACAGTTTGTTAAGACATTTGTCTTGCAAATTAATTATGGCGTGAACAAGTCATTTCGTCAGAGCGGGTTGCAGATAATATGGAATAAGATGATAAATTAATAGAGTTGTTATGCTGGCAAATTATTGATTTCGTTTAATTACCTAACTGGGATTTGTTAGCCTGTGATAAAAACTCATCTTGTTCTCAACGTGGCCTACTCGAAGAGTGATTTATTTTATCCTGCGAAAACCATCGCGTCCATAACAATAATCATGTCTGAGTTTTTAGGTGTCTACACTCATGTAGAACAAAGTCAGAAGATGCTCTTTTCTAAAATGTCACCACAAACTGTCACTCCTGTCTGAAAGTTCAATTTGGTTAAGCGAGAATTGATTTTGCGTTTCACTGTAGCGGTGCTGGCTCTAATTTATGCTCATTGTACTACAGTTTTCTAATCGGAACAGACTGTTCATTTGAACAAGAAATTGGCCCTTCTGTAGAGTTGGTGCTGAAAAACTGGCAACGAATTGTTGACTTGAAAATAACCTTGGCTAATGCGCCATGCGGCTGCGTATGTAGGCAGGCATTCCTTTAAAATGTAGAGCATTGGACTTACCGTCTACAAATTGTGAGTTTTGACACCAGCTCAGGGTCATTACCCTTCATCTTTCTGAGGAAGAATAATTAGCATCACTTGGAAGCAAGGCAGCTAAAGATAGCACGGTATCGTGACCAAGTAACCATAGATACAGCCTTAGGATTGATATATATATATATTAAGGCACATCTGGACGATAATACAAAAAGTAAGGTTAAAGTTGCGCCATAAGTTCCGAAGGGTGCCACAAATGGAACCGTGTCATTAAAAAGGTAAGAGGGAACTGGGATCGAAACGTTAAAAACTTTTCTGTTTTCTTTTCCATTATACTGCGTTCAAGAATTAGGCCGTGTTTTGGCCATTACCTGACTTCCTGCAAAATGTATCCTATTAGCTTAATGCTGCAAATCAATCAAATAGTTGATGGTTAATGCTCATGAACGAAGAATACCGATGACGGGTGCATGGTTTTAAGAGATGACAGAAAAACAGAATCATTTGTGTTTCCTGGATGGTTGACAGATGGGAAATGCTCAGAATGATTT